AAATTACTCAGTTCTGATTGGTTAAGATAAATTTTCAGGTTATTCAAGGCAGAAGAGGGTTAATTCAGTGCAAAGCAGTAACAAACCAGACTGAACAATTCCTTGAACTGTTTAGCCGGAATCTGAACTTTTTTGCGCCTTAAAGATGTGAAAATATAATTGTATATCATTTTTTCGATCGTACGCGGTTGTTTTGACCGAACGCACAATGTCACTTGCATAGTTTGAATAAATTATTTTTGCACTTGAAGCGCGCGCTTTTCTTCTGCATAATTATGATATATCTCGTCGTTTTTTTTTCATGTATATTATCATGACGTAGTCTAATGATTTTTCTCGTGCAATTTGGAATGAATAAGCCGTTTGTGGTACTCCTGCTTTTCTATTCCAAATTGCACTCGAAATCATGTGATTATCTATAGTTATTTCATAATCATTGATACTTTTTCATAAATAGGTGAGAATCATGCACCCAATATCATGGCCAGAAACGAAATATACCAACCCCAACTGCATTTATGCCCTTACTACGTGTATATGTTTTTACGCAAGAATCTTTCAAACGAATGATAATTTCTATCTGGTATTTTGTTTCTTTCATTTTGTTGTATTTCGTCCTTCTTTTCACAGAAGTATTATCGAGAGATAGTGCTAGAAAATTACAACAGATTACTCATCACCAAATCTGGATCCCACAGGTAAGGAACTTGTTCAGTCATAGTCCGTTGACGAAAATAATGAAAAATTAAAAGTCAGGTTGAAGATACTCTCATAAGCTGGTAATTACTAGAAATTTTAATATATCTTGTGGTGATCTATTTTCATGAACGCAGAAAAAATGTTTTGAAACTGCAAGTTTTCTTCGAAGATCTTGACGTGGAGGTCGTTTCAGAGCAACGTTCATATGAAGTGAGTAGCTCACATGTCTAATAACATTTCTTTTATTTCGGTGCGGATGAACAGAAATCAAATATTTGCAGAAAGGAAGGAAGCAATACCGCACATTCCTTTTGTTTCAGACACATCTTATAGCTCTTTAAAATGCGTCTTTTCGTTTTTCAAGAGAGTTGGGCCTTCGTTGAGGGGTTCTTTAATTAAAAGATAACTGGATATTGTTTCAACTGATGTTGGAAATGTGAAAACATATGAAGTAATTGAGTGATATATATTTATTTCCGATGTGGATCGTGACGTTTCGCCTGCACACTGCCAGTCTTTCTCAAGAGAGTTTTTTGGTGTTATCACTCGTAATTTATATTACAGAGGCCTTAAATTTTTATAATAAAAAAAGAAAAGGGGAAATCAACCATAGAGTTTCTTGTCTTTGTGGAAGCTACCGAATAAAAAAGACCAGAAACCCGAACTTCCCCTCCTCAAGTGGTCTTTTTTTTTTTTTTTCCCGGCATTCGAAACAAAGAACAAAAAGTTTTTTCTTAGCAGATATTAGGATATCATTAACTCTGCTTTTAGACATTATGTAAAGCTCAGTAGCGCCACCATCTAGTGCGAAGTAAGAAACGATTTTTTTTCGTTGTTTGTTCGCAGTGAAAGAGGGAATTTAACTCCATTCAAGTTTAACTCACGATACCAAATAAAAAGACGAACTCTTTGCACCAGGGAAAGAAAAACCATGTCTTGGAAACATAAGCTTTTGTTTTTAAGTTGCTTAATTAAGACTAACGCTCCAGAGCCGATATCGTCCACTGCAAGAATTATCGGGCAATACTTTATGAAAGAACTTAATTGCTTAAGCAAAACTCAAATATAAATGTACCACTTGTAATCATAGATAAGATACTTTACGCATAAATATCAAATGGAATCGTACGGATATTTGTTTTGATACTCATTATTTTTGCTGTAAATTTCTGGCCAAGAAACTTTTTAACAGCTGTTTATTTTTTACCTCAGCTGGTCAACTTTGTGTCAGACATCGGTGGTCAACTTGGCCTATGGATTGGGTTCTCTGTGCTGACTCTGGCTGAGTTCTTAGAGCTTATTATGCTACTGTGTCATCTGGCTGTCAAGAAATGCTTCAAGAAGAATGGCACGTCTGAGAGTTATCTTCCGAATTAAGGCTGAATGGATTATGAAAGGCGAAGGATTTTATTAAATGCTTAATAACACACTTTAAATCTCTCTCAATTTCCTCTCTTTCATCGTTGATGTTTGCGTCTTGTTATACATGAACTGATTTTTACATTGAAATTTTTAATTTCAATGACGAGACTATTTTCAGAAAGACAGAAGCGGAACAATCATTGTTATACGCGAACTTTCATGGGCAGCATTTAAAGTGATGAAATATTGGCTTTAATCCATGAATGGAATTTCCCACTTTGAGTCTCCCCTGCCTGATTAATTAAGATTTTTTCATAGAATATGACTAAACAAATCATCAATCCACAGAGAAAATAATTTTTTTGTCAATGTGAAACTGGATTTAATACGCCCTCTACTGCCCCATTCATTCAACTTCGACCCGTTGCCTTTTCTCGTTGTATTATATAGCACATAATTAGTTGGCTTGATAACTCTAACACAGCCAAAATGATTATATCTATTATTAAGAAGGGTTTCGTTTATGGCAGTTTTATTCCAGATATAAATAAGTTTACAACAGACGGTAATTACGGTGCATTTTGAGCATGACACCATCAGCCGAGAATTCATTTGCGGCACATATCTCTATTCGCGTCGCGTGTCACTTTTGATGACGAGCAATTTGATGTTGATCACCTCAGAGAAAGAGCGGATTAAATTTATTTTTAAAAGTCAGCATATATCTTACGGAATCGATCATTGATTTCCTGAATACCGTCATCAAATCAATGACTCCATTCTCGTTACTGAGTCATCGATAAGTTAAAAAGTAATAAGCGAAGCACTCATCATGTTCAGCTTCTGAATTTTACGATTAACATGAGGTAATTAACAGTCCTCAGTCTTCTTGGATCAGCGATCATCAGCTGTGTCTCTTTCGGTAAGGTAATATGTACTAGATATAATCATGTAAGGTAATATGTACTAGATAGGCAAATTAGTTACGTGTAATTGGTAGATATTTCTTTACAAGCTAATTTCCTTTCATTCAAATCGGTAGCTTTTGAGACTTAGATTAATTAACCTTTCTTGTAAACAATAATCTTTATCAACGTTCGGCTTCTGCTCTGAAAGTGTATAAATTCTGTTAGCACGGTTTCGCAGATCTCGCCACGTGTAAGCCCTCGAGAAAGTTAAGAGAAGCATATTATGCACGTTTTGAAATACGTCTGGTACTTCACTTTTTCTTTTATCCACGAGTAGGAAACTTGTAGCATTTGTGGTAGAATAAATTTTGGACTTTATAAGAAACATTGTAGATATTAAAAGAACGGTTCAAGCTCTCATGACATAATCAAAATTCAGTCGGAAACCGTGTAGAGCAAAATAGGATAAAACTAACGCAATGAAAATAGAAGTTTTTACCCTCTTGTAATTTTATTTCAACACTCTTGTAATGTACTTGACACAAGTATTTTCATTTTTTGATTCTTTCAATATCAGTTGAAGAGCAAGTCTTGTAATGGCAAGTGTTCTGAAAGAGGATTAAACTTCAACTATAATTTATTATTATTAATATGAGAATAATTTTTATTCTAAATTACGGCAAATCTTTTAAAATTAATGTCTACCGACTTTCAATGAGCAGAATTATGTAGATGGAATATCAACTTGCTTTCCGTGATTAGGCAAAGGTGATATAAACTCAGTAGCTAGCTCTAAATCCAAAAACGCGGCTCTATATCGCCGTAAATGTTACATACGGCGTTACGGTAATTTTTGAGTTAATCGGTCCAAGTAAGACTGGTATCGCCATTAAACCACATTTTCACGGGTGCGAAAACTTCAATAACAAAATATATTCCGTACTTCAGTGACCATCCTCACATCAATGCAAAGACAACTCCCCTTAGAGAATAATATTATTGTAGTGGGTAAGTAATTAGATACCGTAAGCCAATGTGTTTATCGACACGCTACAATGCTGGTTTGCTGCATTTCAATGTCGTTGCGTTATTACTTCTTGGCCAAATAATTAACAGAGTTACTATTAGCTTCTGGAAGCTTTTAACTCAACCCGCTGATGCTATATTTGGGGTCTTTAATAACATATTTAGTAGATACTTTGGTTACAACTGTTTGTCACGGCTGAATGCATTTTTTTAAGAAGTAGTTTTTCGGAAGGCGTGTATTCCTCTAACTTTGAACTTGCGATTAATTTAGGTAATGTATAAAATAAAGAGTTACATATTCCTGAACCACAGCTAATAACTGCAACCGGCAGATGTTATTTTTGCAAATGATGTTTCTTTTCGTTTCCACGAGAGGGCTTCGATCTGTTCCTACTAAATTAGTTCAAACGTAATTTCCCAGAATACACTTTTAACAGGGGTGATTCTGTCACCAGTATTTCACATTCAGTTAACCGATTTTTAGCAAACTCTTTGTACATTCATCAACGCAAAATAGCTTGAAAGCAAGAACAATCGGAACTCGAAACAAAGATTTTGTCGTGCTGAGCGATTTTATGATTGTCGGTCTATTTTTCAAACGTTTGATTCGTCGAATGAACTCATATTGTAGGTTTTAAAAGAATAATACGCTAGAAGTGAACGACGTTGAGTAAGACGAAGAACCTCACATAGAAGCGTAATTGATAACAGCATCAGTTCAGTAAAGTCAAGATCTCTGTGTGATGAGAGTCTTAAGTTCGGCCAAAACTGAAATACGAAGTAGAAGTTGCATTTCGTGTCTTAAACACATTCCTAAACTAATTCAAGATGATGCAAGCATAAATTGTGTACAGTTTGTATTGTAAAATAACCCCCTTCCCACATAATCCACAGACTCAACTATAAACGACAGTTGTCCAATGTACCGAGTAGCATTTGATCAGCCCTTCTGCCTTGACGGGTAAAATTTCGGCAGGAAAAAGATAAATCTTCGAAGCGTAATACTGCCTTCGGTTTAAATTCTGGCCAATTCAAGAACGGAATTTATTCCATGACAGACTGAGAATTCATACGAACTAATTATAAAAGATAGCTGAAAAACGTTTATGTCAAAACGTGTATGGCGGTTATAAAGAATTTGATTAAGCAGTAACTCAGCAACCATCTCAGAACAGTCTCAACTGGTAAGTGCCTCAGCACCAGCTTGTCTTTGAACTTACATGAGGACATATGAAATTTCTCTCTCTTTTAGGCCATTGATTAATTTTAGTCACTAAATTAGTGTTAAGAGAATTAGAAACAGGTAAGGCAAAAAATTATTCCGTTTTGAAAAGTTTCTTTCATCAATGGATTAAAAAAATCTACAAAACATGAAAAAACTAACATGTAGTGATATTATTTTTACAACAACGCTTATCTTTAAATCCATTCTATGTTTTATAAATTAAAATTAAAGAATAAGTGAGGGCGAAGATTCACAATTTCATTTACATTACATGAAGATTTGAAACTTATCTATCAGAGTAAATTCTCCCGAAGTGTTTGCGCCTGTTTCACCTCGTAGTAAACGAAATATTTGAAAGATGAAAAGGTGAACTATACATTTACAACTTTTAAAAATTATTTTAACATTGATTCTGTGACTAAATCAATAATGGATGAGCTTACCCAAAATATGTAAATTAAATATTCACACCTCTTAATTTCTGCCTATAAAAGAGGAGAAATTGAAGGCTGTGTCCTTTGGACGACAAAAGTATATAACAGCATAGAACCTCGATCAGCGTGTCACTATGTAATGCAACTCGATAGATTAACTTTCAACGGAACTAACAATATCCTATATGTTTGAAAAGAATATGAATCAAAATACCGTTGCGTGTGACCGACTCAGTTAGATGTTGTCTGTAAAGATGTAAACCGAATAAAATATCCTAAGACTGGGCCACGCGGGGGCTCTTAAGTTCTGATGTCCAATTTATGTCTGTTTGTAGCAAACTGAGAAAAACGCGTCTTTTCTTAATAAAAATGTTTTGGTCCTCGATGTGATACGCAAAAAAAAGGAACCCTTTTTTTCGTGCGAACAAATTCATCTACGCCCTTCAAATTTACATCTCTGGTTTTTTATCACGAAAGATTGTGATAGATAACTTATGCACTTTTACATCCTTCGCTTTCATGAAGAGTTAGTGAGATCGTTTTCACAATCGACTCTAGTCTGAGAAAAGGATAGCTTATTTATTTTCTTTCCCAACTTGAACCTATCTATTAACATGCATGCATTCGGCATATGAGTGTAGACATTTACCTCCGTTTACAATTATTTAAGGTTTTATAAACGAGTTATGCTTCACCACACCTAACGTTTTTACGGCAGGTGATGATTAAAGTATGTTAATTCTATCGGTTCGGTACGGTGTGAGAAAAAGAAAGTATTCATTTTACTTTGCTGCATTAATGAAGGACAGCACCTGCATATTTTTATCAAAATTAAAACCTATTCTCTATTTAAAAAAGTCTCCAATGAAGAGTGATAGCTATTAGTGTGGACAAATTGTAAAAGAGGCAGACGTCAGAGGAATTGCTTGAATCGAGAGCGAAGACGATATTGCAGTAAGAAAAAGGTATGGTACTTTTTTTTACAAAAGAAATATGATTTGGGACTCAGTAAGCAAGCTGATGCGTTGAAAATGTTTAGTGTGTTGAATTTCAGATAATCTTAAACTGGATGGATGTTTCAGTTTCATTCGGTTGTAAATCAAGATTGTTGAATTGACTATCAGGTCAGGGAGGTTTTCCTCACGGTGGCATTTTTAGCGGAAAAGTCCTTAACTTTGCTAAGGTTATCTTGAGAGTGGTTACGGTAGAATTCTTCTTTTTCGTTAAATTTTTAATGAGTTCTAGGCCTGTGTATTTGTTTTCATGTGGTAAACTCGTAATGAGAATTTTTTTTCACGAATTTTTTTTCTTACCAATAATTTACAAACAATATTTTGTTTAGAGTCTGGTAGACTCTTCTTCTGCATCACCGCTTTTCTTGTCCTCGGAGATGGTGAAGCGGGTATGCTAAGTTTTTCGGCAACAGAAAATTTACCCTGTTGAGCTGCCTCTTGAATAATTCATAAGAAATGACTCTTGATGACTCTTATTTGACTGCACAGAATGAGAAAAAACTGACACAAGACTTGGAAGAGTTCCGATATTTTACGAGGAGACCATAACTTTTGTTTCTGGGCATGACCACTATTCTCAAACAAAGTGCATTGCGTTTATCGTTAAACAGAACTTTACGCTGAGAAGCGGTAAGTGAAGTAAAACGTTTCACTTCGGAAAAAAGGTTTAACAACGCCCCTTACTGTTGTGGAAAAAAGCTAATTTTTGTTTCTTATTCATAATTCAGTCAAGGTGAGGACTTTTGAATTTCTGATTACTTCAGTTTAACAGAAAAACTGAGCCAAAGGTCGGGTAAATCTTTCATGACACTTTTTTATTTGATAAGGCTCTATATCATTCGGATGCATTGGTGATCATATCCGGAGATGGAAATGCAAGAATTAGGAAGCCATGATGAATCAGAAATCGAACATGAGCGAAACGCAAAAAACATGTTCTGCTCCCTCATCAAGGACTTTTGTGACTACACATCTGCGCATGGCCTGGGGAGGATAATGGCGGCGACACACTGGGTGCGAAAAGTACTCTGGATCATGCTCCTCTTGGTTGCGATGACGATTATGACGATTCAAGTGAACGTTTTGTACCAAAAATACCAAAGCCGGCCTCTGACTACCTTGGTCACAGTTGAAACAGCCTCGGTATACCATTTTCAATCTATTTTACGAAATTTTTAATATAGTTTCATTAAATGTAAGAATGGGACCTCAAAGGGACACTGGAACAGAATCGTTAAAATTATATCAAGCATGCACGAAATACGATAAAATACGAGCCACTATGGTTCCACGCTCTGAGGATCAGAAGTCTAAACATAGACAGCACCCTCAATGCTATATCTTCCGTTTTATTTCATAGTGAAAGAGGCGGGAATGCAAACGTTTCTCTTTCAACAAAAAACCGCTCTGGCGAAAAAAAGTGATTGTCTTTTTGCCAAGACCTCTTTAAAGCGCTTCCCCTCGGTACCAAGGTTATCAAAATATCGCCTCTTCCTCTGTAGTGTTCATAAATCTTTTTTAAAATATGCTCTCGCCTACGTTCGCGTTATCAGTTTACGGTCTCATATTGATTATTAAAACATGTCTCAACTTTCCCGCAATTAATTTCATATTTTGCAGAGCCTCCCATTTCCAGTTGTTACGTTCTGCAACTTCAATGCTCTCAAAAATGATTCTCTACAAGCTGCTAAAGCAGATGGAATGGATATTTTCAAAAACCTCTTCACAAGTGAACTTGGTAATGCTGACAGATAATATAATTGTTTAGGAAGTTATAGTTCCGCAGATAAGCAGGCACAAATCTACTACCAAAGTCTACTTTTTGAATAACTCGGTCACGAGAATCTACTGATTTTCTGAATTCTACCGGAGTATGTTTCTTTCCGACTTGTAGTTTAACACATGTTGAATTAATCGCATTGTAACATAATGAACGACGTAGAGACATTATTGGCGGGCATGGGTATACATTTCTGACTGATGTTTTTTATCGTGTTTATCTGCCGCTGATTCAGCTAAAAACATCTCAAGTAGCCAGAGAAGACGACGATCAAATGATCCTGCTCCAACTCTAGAAAGTCTCGCTGATCAGGAAGGTTCAAGTTATGATTCTGATGACGATGATGACGGGAACCTTTCTTGGGATGACGACGAAGAGTTTCAAGATCCGTTTAAGAAAGACCCAACCTTTTTAAAAAATGAGCAGCTAGCGGTTCTTATGGCTAAGGAAGATCTTAGACTTTTAAGCATGATAGGTCACCAATTTGACGATATGGTTTTGTCCTGCACTTACAGGGGTGTTCCATGCAAGTAAGTTGTACGTTAGCTGTTTTCGCTTACGTTAAAGAGCAATTTGCAATTGAGTTTCGAAAGCCATCCTGGATTGCTGGTTCAGTTTACTTCACTTCGCTCCGTGATTGGTCTAGAAAATTGACGCCACTATCTTAACCAATCAAGATAATCAAATACAAAGCTAATACCAGTCCCAACTTGACCGCTTACTTTTTCCCGCGCCTCTAGCATTGGTAAATGATGACTTCGACCTTTGTTCTGAGAGGTAGTTGTGTTCAATTTGGTTTTTGTTTTTCGACAGTCAACTGAAAATTGCCCTAATATCATTTTCGTAATAGAGGACTTTGATATTGGCAAAACGTTCGAGAACTTCAAAAAGATATTTAGCCTAGAACTATTACGCATATTCTTCTACCTACATTTCGAACTTCAGAAAAATTGTTTCAGTTAAGTTCTTCGAGGCAAAAATGATTTTACCAATCTTCAGAGCAAAACTAACAGGCAGAGAAGGCCAAACGCAGTTTGCACTCTGACCAAATAAGATTCACATTACCCCTTTTGTTTCAGGAATTTCTCTTCTGTTTTTTGGAATAAGTTTTGGCATTATAAGTATGGCAACTGTTTCGTATTTAACAGTGGAAAAACGAAATCAGGGAAGGACGCACCCATCCTAAAATCCAACAAACCAGGACCATCTCATGGTAACGTCAAGTCAATGATTTCCTTATCTCCTTATCTATATGGTACCATCTGGTTCCAACCTGTACATTTACGCAAGAAGTAAACCAACTGAGGAGGATTCAAGCTGTCATATTTGATTCACGAAGACAGCACGGAAGCGAGGAGTGAAAACGAATTATTTGAGGGAACCTTAAAAATTGATTGACTATCATTTTCTCTCATTAATGCCTTAACGACATTGGTGAATTTTTAAGTACTTTCAAGTATCCTTGATTTGCAGACTGCGCACGTGAAGATGGCGACCATATTAGCGGGCGCGAATGTTTATAAGTGCCACCAGAGAGTAAAGAAGTATCTTGCTAAAGAATGGTGTATATCTTTACATTTACGAGCTCCTGTGAAACTCGCTGACAGGTGTTGCAGAACTTGCATCATTTCACCTGCCTATTATTTCCAAATAATGATAAGAATGTTTATGCTACTTTTTAGGACTCATCTTGGAACTTAACATAGAACAGGAAGAATACTTGGGACAAATGAGTCCAGAGGCAGGAATTAAACTTGATATCTCTCCTCATGGTGAGATGCCATTTCCACTGGAAAGGGGCCTGAGTCTTGCTCCAGGATACGCTACCATGATTGGAATGAGGAAGGTAAAGGAATTCAGCAGCCCGATCGGCCAGCAATGACATTGGTAAACAAAGTCGGAATGAAGGATCTTTGCGGTTGGCAATGATCTCAAGGACAGCACACGCCCACGAAAATGAATTTGGGGAAACTAAGTACATCGGTCTTAGCTTAGTTTTTTAATGTTATTTAAAACATAAATGAAATATCAAGTGAAGAAATGATCCTCACGTGTAAAGTGTAGTTCAAGCAAATACAGATAAGACGCCTGAAAATTTTCAGATCTCGATAGGATACGAACCCGAGGGCATTCCAACCAACTGAGCAACGAAGCCGCACGTTAAGAGTGAGGCATTATAGTGCGTTTTTCGTTTCCGATAAGAGACCTGATTACAATTAAAATCAGTGAAATTTACCCAACTAAAATTGTGTAAAAAAATTATTCTATTATTAATAGGAGGTGATAAAGAGAGAGGATCCATTTCAGAGCAAGCGATGTTTGAAGGAGGTCACCAAAGATGATACTAACTTGTATACAAAGCATTTTGGAGCAGTATACTCTTCAACGGTACATTGCTGTTGTCTACGTTATTATATTGTCGCTATATGTCTGTCGTTCTTTCGTTTAAGCACCAAAATCCTCTAATCCTATTCGTTGTCTTAAAATTCATCCCAGGCATGTAGAAAATCCTGCTTGGCGTACAATCAGCTCAGAAAGTGTCGATGTATGCAATACCAATTTCCAGGAAGTTCCAAGTATGGTATCTGTAGCGTCATCGACAAATCAACACGTAAGACTTCACACAAATTTTTTAAGTTATATTTTTTTTGGTAGTTTTTCCAAATACCTCTTATTAACTTCAAACAAAATTTTGTCCTTTGTCCAAAGTCAAATGTCTCAGCAACGTCCAGAAGATGTTTAAAGAGAACAACTTGAATTGTACTACATCCTGTCCGCCACCTTGCAGGTAAAGACAACTAAAATTACAAGAAATGTCCAAAGCAAGTCATAAAATTCAGGATATTTTACATCTTTAGGAGTTACAATTTTCTTTTGGGACAAATTACTGCACAAAGTTATTGCTTATAACTACAACGTAAAAGGCAAGTTGAAACAAAAAATTTAATGCAATTATCGTTTCTGACACTCTTGGAAAAAGAATGCTATAGAATGCGCTTCTCGATCGTTTTGTCTCCCATTTTTTGCACTGGACTGAGAGAGAAGGAGGAGGTGCCTCCCCTCTCCATTCTTCCTCCTTTCTCTGAGAACACTATCAACAGTAAAAATACCGTCATCATAACATTTCCCATTGTTGAGTTTGACGATGTACTCTTCTTAGATGTTTCGCCCGCCTAATACCTTGGCTGCCCGATAAAAGAAACACAGCGAAAGTTGTGTTTATAACGTATAGAACTTAAAACTGTTGATGTAAATATCCTGATACTCTGATCTTCAATTTGTTTTCAGAGAAGAAGGCTACAAAATGAGTTCTTCGTTTGCTCTTTGGCCATCGGAGAAGTATGAGGTACAGCTCATGTTTACTGATCATTTTTTGGATGATATTAACAATATTAACGTTCTTCAGCCCTTAATAAGTTTGCTATGATCCACTTATAGCCAATCTACGAGAAGGCTCTGCAGAAGGAATATAAAATTTTGTTCACCAAGAGAGGATCATCTCACAGGTAAATAATATTCATATCAAACGATAACCGAAGCTCCTCCAGGATAGCCACTTTAACGAAGTAACTGTTGAGATAGGGGGTTCTTTACAGAATGATTTAAACGTATTTAATAATCTTAAAATCCAGTCAAAATTTATTTATTTTGATGAGTTCTAAAATAGTTGTAGTCTTTTTTAACTTTTCTTTTCAATCAAACAGAAAAAATGTTTGCAAGTTACAAGTCTTCTACGAAGAACTCAACTTGGAAGTGATAACGGAACGGCGGTCGTATGAGGTATGCATGTTAATGAATTAGACGAAATAAGGAATTCTTACTCCTGACGGCAGTCGTCAAAGGCAGTCATGTGGTAATCTTAATAAAACATGCCAGTCTTTTTTTTTTTAACGTTGAGGTTGACGAACCTGGAAAATTGATAACGAGTGTTTCTGTTCTTTAACAGATTGAAGATTTTGTATCAGACATTGGCGGTCAGTTGGGTCTGTGGATTGGTTTCTCCGTGCTGACTGCAGCTGAGTTCTTAGAGCTGTTCATGCTCATATTTCACGCAGTCTTCAAGAACTGCGGGGCCAAGAAGACGCAAAAGTCAAACCACATCCATCAGGATATCGTGGCCTAAACAGACAAAGCTGTGGAATTCCCCTAGCCTGATAATTACCAATTCAAAACCACATTTCAACGGGTGTACATCTTTGCCACGATGGTGTGGAACGCTTGATTACGTGATGTGAAACAAGACTTCCTTATCCTTATTTTATGGTTTAAAAAGAGAAAAACTCTTGTTATTGGTTACGACAAGGTGTCAGGGGAGAGCATTCTATAATAATTAATTCACTTTGTGTTGTGAAACGATAGCATCGTTGCTTGACTTTTTTTTCGTTCCGTTTTGTATTTCTGTGTTGATTTTCGGATTTTTTGAACGTATCCAATGCAACAGTTTCACTCATATATTTAACTTAAAAATAGAAGAGAGAACGTGTCTTTTTCACACAAAAGAATATAGTTTCCGTTACCGATTAATCGTCACACGAGGCACTGTGCAAAGCTTTTTCAGTATGTGAAGGTATCAGGCTGTAGCTATTTTCAGTTCCTTTCAGTTCGGTCTTGCCTGTTACAACCCCATAGTTTCTTATTGCATACTGAAGCATCGATCATACTTAGAATTACAGAACCTTGTCTTCCTCCTTCAATGCGACTTGAAGGTCTCTCACTGAGTGCTGTGCTACAAATATTAAACCAGGAAATAACAAAATATAGGTCGCTTGATAATTTTAACTTAGTCACTGATATCGCTCAATTTAATAACAGGTCAGTTTTGTTAAAAAGTGATGACTTTCATTGCTACACAACCCACATTCTCATTCAATTGTTTTGAATAAAAAAACCATCTTTCAGTTTGATATCAAGTTAAGTTGATGTTTTTATTTTCATGTGAGCTTCATCCGCAAGGACCTCCCTGCACATGTCTTCATTGATCCCAGCCAGTCGAACATCGATCAAACCGAACCGATGAATCAGTTTTGATCAATTTGATCAAGTGCCGAGATCATAGATGTTGCCTAGCTACAGAGCAGTCACAAACAAATGGGATTAACAAAAACAGAAAAACAACACGTGCGTGGGTGGTTCTTCCGTGACGCAGATATGCTCGTTAGACCACACTTCCGGAGAAATATTCTCACGTAAATCCTTACCACCTGATTAGTTAGGGGTTCGGAGAAAAGCGCGAGTAAGCAGGTAGACTGCCAGCTTGTCTTGATCAAACAGGCTCCTTGCTTTGTTAACGACGTCCTATCAATTAGAACAAAAATGATTTCTCCAATTCTCTGAAACTTCATTATTTGAGGAAAGAAACCTCGTAACTGAATCGAAAAGCACATCCAGGTCTGTTGAAATAACGGAATAAAATTGTAGGATATTCAATTTTCTCTATGTAATTCTTCTTCCAGTAGCGATTAGACGTTGTTGCTTTTTGACCAAGTTGATTTTCACGATGAGGTCTAGTCTCACCGACCATGTTTCCCTGCACGTTAACAATGGCTGCCTGTAACATTGTCTAACATTTAGAAGTTTGTCACTTGTTATTGCTTTACTGTGATAATTTTGTTTTCACTCTTAATTGAAGAATCTTAAAAAACAGTCATAGCTTTTATCGGATAACACTTCAGACGAACAGTTATTGATTACTGTCCCATGACGTCAAGTAAACTTTTTATACACAGGTCTGGAAACTGAAACACGCGATTACTTCATAGATACTTTTGATTTAAGTAGCAATCAGAAATGGAAACTGGTCAGTAATCTATTTTAGCTGGCATAAAATTGTACACAACCTGTATTTCCACTGCGAATTCACTTTTCAGGCTGTGCAAATAAAAGAGCTAATTATGAAGTTCAGACAAAAACTATTTACTATTGTTCACAACCTATATTTCCACTGCGAATTCACTTGTCAGGCTGTTCAAATAAAATCGCTAATTATGCTGCTCAGACAAAAACTATTTACCCCTCAACATTTCTGAGGCGTTGTAGTAAACATAGCAATTTTAATTTTATTGTTTCTACATGTGCGGTTTTTGTTATGCAAAACAAGGTCAATAACGAGGGTTAGTAATATATGCAACGACATGTTTAGCATAGAAATGGATGCGGAATGTTTTGACGTCAGAGTGTTTTCTTGCCCTTGATTGCGCGCATTGGCCCAAAGATTAGATCACTACACGATAAACGAACGACGGACCACTGTAGGAGAAGCCCACCGAACACCAATCGCTCACCTGTGCTCGTTGAAAAAGAGTTCTTCATCACGACGTAAATCACCAAGGAGCCGATATACACCGTAGCTGTAATCAATCAGAAAATTTACTCCACTCGCACGCCAAGAGGAAAAGGTTCTCAGGTAACCAAGCTTGAATTTATTGCATTTTGTTATTGTGTTATTTTACCAACAACCGTGCCATTCAGAGTCTTTTAACCGCCATCTGTACATACACTTGTTTGTTAAATCGAATGTTGTTGTGGAGTGGGTCGCTGCTCTCGAACATTTCCAATTAGTCAGTTCAAAGCGAGCAGTGAACAATAAACTGCCGATTAATCCCATCGCTAAATAATCTGTTGTTGGTTTTGTATTTCCGATTGGCTGCATGTTCTTTGTTCACCTGCGGAACACATCATTTTATTTCAATATCTTCTATACTACTGAGGAGCAAACTGTAAGCGCTATAAGATGCTGTCAGTTGTTCATGCTTGAATGAATTAACAGCCTGAGGTTTCACAGATCTCATTTTACATTTTGAGTGGAGAGCAAACTCCTTGACAAAAAATGTCGACTCAACTTGTGCTTTAAAAGCAACAATAACAAGAATTTGAAAAAAATTCTCACCAAGCCAAGAATTTTCCCGTGACTGATGCGAGAGTACCTGACTTTAGATGACCAATTACACTTTGTAACATCTTGTCCTGAATATCCAAGGGAAATATGGGGTGTCTGTAAATGTATAACCGAAAAAACGGAAATCATTGTATTTTCACCATCACCAAATGACACCCGTAATTTTGACACATTCATTAGAAAATTATGAACAATTATTTTAAAAAATTAATTTTTCCTGATTAATTTCTTTTCGAGGCTAATGTCAACACAGGCGACGGACAAATACGAAGGGCCAATATGCTTACGAGCTAGAAAACTCGCTTGACAGATTTAAATAGTACTCTCAGTAATTAATGTAAAAAAAAATTTATTGGTTTTGAGATTCAAATTTTTTTTAAAGTGCAGAAAAACCTTTAAACTGAAATGAAATGTGTGGTTTACGGAGTTGGGTTCAGTTTTCAAGTAATTGTAAATCTTATCTCCCTCACATGTTCAAAGTGTTCTCCTTATCTCATGCGAGAGTTCAAAACTATCAATGGTCACCTGAATTATCAAGCTCGTTAGTAACTTTAGAAGGCTTTTGCAGTTGAGTTAGCATGAAAACTGACTGTCCCAAAGCAAATTTCCCAGGAATCTGACAATTCCTTTTAGCATCATTGGAAAACATTTAATTTTGCAGTGTTAATCAACTAGTGATGGGAGATAAGGGTCAATCCTCTCGGCTTCAGCTCTTCCTTAATGGAAGTGAAATGTTCGTATATAATGGACTACATTATCATTAGTACGCTGTAACCTTTGTTTGATTTAGTCAAGCCCTCCTCCTTAATTTCCTTTTCAATATCATTTCCCACCATGTGATAATTTTGTACAAGCTTGTATATCAACACTTAAAATTCTAATTCGCAGAAAGCACGCTATTCGGCCGAGAATCAAGATAATGAAGATGCATTACCCACATGTACCACTGTTGAATTGTTATGTGTTTCACTTCTTTAATACGCGATTTTTTTTCCGTTTGATCGTATCAGATAAGCATGGGTCGTAAAGCTATTGATCTGATACTGTCTTTGCTTTGCACCATCTCCATAGGATCTGGATGGGCCATAACGTATTGAGCTGCATCTGAATGTATTAGTCAAAGATTGAAGGCTATTCTTAGCAGATTAATAGTTTAAAATACTCTTCCTTATCATTAATATAGCGCAAAAAGGAAAAGTTGGGTTGATATTGAATAAAAAAAAGGGGATCTCAACTCATTCTTTGTGTCAGCAATTAATCACGGAGAACTTAATTATTATTAGAGCGCTGAAAAGCAGTGAGTTGGTGTACATGCTGAGAACTTTGTTCAGTTTAGATTGTAAGACAATCCAATTCGGGTTCATTGGAGACTAGCTTACTGATCACCAACAATAAGTATAAAAATATTGACGCTATGCTGGTTTGGTGAGCGTCAGACACTTTAGAATGACGTTACTGCCCAAACTAGACTTTTTAATTTTACTATCTGCCATCAGTAATTTGCACTTAGTGTACTTGATTACCTTCATTAATCATAAATAGTATATATTTTTTTGGTTCAATGTTTCAACTGTCCAGTGGTTTTCTTGGTCTGGTTTAAGGATTAGAGGAAGAGTAAGCAATGTCTGGCTTTTTATCATCGTTTGTCGCTGGTACAAAACGTTCTGTTTTTTGGTGTGTCCGGCTAAATGCTCACCAAGGGTCGAAGCAATGTCTCCTACATTTGTTACTAGAGTACTTCCAAGAATTTCTCAGCTGAGAGGATTTTGCCTTCAAAAACTATCAAGAGAACAAGTGCTCACTCTGGTTACGGTGTAACACGCTTACCGTTTGCGATTCGACTGGTTTTCATAGTTGCACCATTCAAACATACTTGTGGTTTCAGGTTCGACCGATTAATATCATTATATTTTAATGCTACAATCGTGGAAACCTCTAGTACACATAATTGGCCTATAGCTGTTTGGGGACTCTTTGCAAATATAAACTCTACATGTATAAAAAGAAACAGCCTGTACCTTTGCAAAAAACTGAAGTCTTATTACAATAAATGTACATCGGCAGAATTCGCTCACAAGAACTCTTCCCTGAAGCAACAACAACGAAAAAGGAGAGGTACGCTTTCAAGCTCCTTTACAGGTTCCAAATTTTATCACTTTGTTATAGGTTTAAGATTAAAAACTCGTATTAGTTTGTAGTCATTTGCATTTGTAAAGATATGAAATGAAATGTCTGGCCGCGGAACGAGAAATACATTATTGTGCTATTTTATAATAGTTTTTGGTAAATCTACACATGTAACACAAAAGTAGAATTCTCTTCAACAGCATGATATAATTACATGACTTCTTTTTTGTAACAAGTAAGAAATTATTTTTCGAAATGAATAGAAAAACTAAAAGGAAATCTTCTTTTATTGCAGGTCGACCACATCTAACACGTATACCTAGCTCCTTGCTACAATTCTTTGTATTAACGAATTTGTAGCTTATTCGGTTTCAAAATTCGATTTCATATAGTATTAAGAAAAAGTTGCTATCATTTCAAGGGGAATTTGTAGGATCAGAGAGTTACTGCATTCGATAAAAAGAAATTTTAAATTTATGATTCACAGGTGAAAACATAGCCATGAAGACGATAATATCCTCCAATTAAAATAATTTTGAGAGCGTATTGATGAAAACTGTTTTGATAAAACAATGACAACTGTAGGTGATTAAGACCTGGTTACTTGAATAATCATCACTGCTAAATACGAGAAACAAATTAATTGCATAAAAGCTTCATTTCTTTTCATCATATGCAAATTGACTCTAAATGTATTGAGCCTGCACTTTCAAATAAGAGTCATCTGCTTATTGTTAGCGTTTAAAACATTAACATAAGATTCTTCATCCTACATTACG